TAAGGACACCTATTTCCATATTGCAATCCATCCCAATTATAGGTGTTTCCTTCGCTTTGCTGTTGCGTCCGATTTGTACGAATTTATGGTTCTACCTTTCGGTTTGGCCACCGCTCCGAGAGTGTTCACTAAATGCATGGCCCTTGTCTGCGCTTTCCTACACCTCCAGGGCATACAAGTTTATCCTTACCTTGATGACTGGCTCCTGGTCTCCAGGTCTAGGGAAGCACTGCTCACTTCCATCTGTATTACCTGTGCCTTATTGGACAATCTGGGCCTCTGCATTAATACCGAGAAATCTTCTCTTCTTCCGGTACAGAAACTTACATTCATCGGAGCCCACTTGGATTCGACGTTGGAAAAGGCCTTCCTCCCTCAGGACAGACAACTGACCCTCGCTCGCCACATCCATCGAATGCAACAAGACGGGACGGTTCCAGCAAAGTCCATCCAGAGGCTTCTAGGCCATATGGCTTCCTCTGTTGCTGTGGTACCACACGCCAGACTTTGACTTTGTCCTTTGCAGCTATTTCTCAACGAAGTGTTCCATCCACAGAGAGATCCACTGTCAAAGCTGCTTCGAGTTCCATCCTCGGTGCTCTATTCTCTACTATGGTGGTCGGTCCTGGCCAATTTGACTGCTGGGGTCCCCTTCAGGCCCCGATGCCCATCGATAACCGTCGGTACCAACGTGTCTCTTTTGGGGTGGGGAGCGGTATGCTCCGGTCTGTATACCCAGGGCATGTGGACTCATCAAGAATCCACAAATCATATCAACTTCCTGGAGCTGTTGGCGGTATTCAAAGCCCTACGTTCTTTCGAGGATGTTCTTCAACATCGGGTCGTTCAGATAACGTTGGACAACATAGCCACTGTCTTTTATCTGAACAAACAAGGTGGGACGAAATCTCCGACCCTGGCCAGACTTTCTATGCAGATCTGGGACTGGTGCATTTCGAGAGACATTACACTAATGGCAGTCCATCTGGCCGATACGGACAATGTGGAAGCGGACCTTCTCAGCAGGCGCATGCTCACCTCCCACGAATTGGAACTAGATCCTCAGACACGCGACAATCTTTTTCATTGCTGGGGGTTTCCCGCCGTTGACTTGTTCGCCACCCAACAGAACAAGGTGTGCGAGACTTTCTGTTCAAGAGCGGGAATCGGGTGCGAATCCCTAGGGGACACCTTCATGATCCCATGGAACAACCTGAATTTTTACGCCTTCCCGCCGATTCCTCTTGTGATGAGAGTCATAGCGAAGATTTTATACGAACGGGCCATGGGGATACTAATTACCCCTTGGTGGCCACGCCAACCTTGGTTTGCCACACTGCTCGACATCTCTCACAGGGAATACCTTCATCTTCCACTGCTTCCCTACCTCATAACCCAGCAGGACGGTGCACTTCGCCATCCAGATATACTATCGTTGAAACTAACAGCGTGGCGAATCTGATTGTTAATTTTGCTACATTTGTACCGACAGCAACTTCATGTGGTTTGAATCCTGCCCTCGAATCCACTGCATTCAGAACCTTCGAATCCGCTGGGGTCGGCGCTGCTTCCTCTTTCGATCCACCAGCACTGTCGGATCTGACGATTTTTCCGCCAAATCCGACAACCTTTCATCTGGACATTCAACACATCTTTGATTCCTCTCTAAAGCCTTCTACACGGAAGTTTTACACGGCTAAATGGAGACGATTTTCTACCTTTGCTGAGTCTCGTTCGTTCTCCCCGCTTACTTCATCGATACACCAAATTCTTCAGTTCCTCTTAGAACTACACCACTCTGCACTGAAACCATCTTCAATTAAAGTGTATACGGTGGCGATCGCCTATCATCGTGGCATGCTGGACAGATCGTCCATCTTCTCTCAACCTACTATTAAGAGGTTGCTGAAGGGGCTTTATAATCTGAATCCATTGATCAGGCCAGTAATGCCTACCTGGAGTCTCTCTGTTGTTTTGCAAGCGCTTACAAGAGCTCCTTTCGAACCGTTGGCAACAGTCGATTTATGTCTTGTTTCGTGGAAGACAGTGTTTCTAGTGGCGGTTACCTCGACCCGAAGGGCCAGTGAGCTCTGTGCTCTCCACGTAGACCCACCTTACCTCAACTTTCATAGAGAAAAGGTCATCCTGCAGCTCGAGCCATCTTTTCTCCCTAAGGTGTCCACTCCATTTCATATGGGACAAGATATCACTTTGCCTGCCTTCTTTCCATCTCCGTCAACTCCGCTAGAAAGATCGTTGCACTTACTTGACGTTCGGCGCTGCTTAGCCTTCTACAGATCTAGGATGGAATCTATTCGGCGCTCAAATAGACTTTTCGTTAAATATGCTACCAGAGATCAAGGCACCCCCGTCACTCCGCAGAGGATCTCTAAGTGGATAGTCCATACCATCACTTTGTCTTGCCAACTGGCTAAGATTGACTCACCCACAGCTCTTCGAAGCCATTCGACTAGGGCTGTTGCTACCTCCTCTGCCTTCGCATCAGGAGTACTGATTGACAATGTGTGTCAGGCTGCTACTTGGGCGAACCCTTGCACTTTCGCCAAACATTATCGTTTAGACATTCGGGCTCGACAAGATTGCTCCTTCGGCAGAGCTGTTCTTTCATCTGTTCTTCGTTGAGGATACCTCCCCTCCTCCGTTATGGTAAGCTTGTTAATCTACCCATATGTGTGATGCACAGAGGCCACGACGAAGAAAAGCAGGTTGCTTACCTGTAACTGATGTTCTTCAAGTGGCCATCTGTGCAGTCACACAACCCACCCGCCGGCCCTGCTCAGTGTTGGTGAGTGGACTTTTTCGTCGGTACCGAACACTTCCATTATTTCTTGGTACCGATCTTGTTCACAGTAGAACTAATTTTTCCCACATGGGGGCATCCGTTCGGTCATCAAAGACTGAACAAAATGGAAGACGCTCCGCTCTTTATAGGCTGTGGGGGAGGGGGAGTGGAGCTTTCCTGCCAAAAACTGTTAGCTTGTAATCTTCCGGCCAAAGGCACTGCGCAGCCACAGCACCCATATGTGTGACTGCACAGATGGCCACTCGAAGAACATCAGTTACAGGTAAGCAACCTGCTTTTTTTTGGTGGAGAGGGGGAGGCTTACCTTAATTAAAGTTTCACTCTTCTATTTCTTTAATTTATATCAAGCCCATTCTCCAAGGACCTCAGTGTGGCATGAATGGTACCTTGCTCTGCTCTGACAACAACCCTGCAAAGCAGGCTGGGCTGAGAAAGTGTGGTTCTCATGACTGAGGTGTGGTTAAAGAGCCATGTGGTTGCTTGTTAACCTCACTGTGCATGCCACTTGTATGTCAGCCAGATTTCCTTGATAACCCTCATTGGTTCAGCTTACTTTGTTACTTAAATCCAGTAGCATGGCTTGTCTGAGCAGGCAGCAACCCAACCCTAAAAAATCTGTGAACTGTTGTTAACCTGAAGGTTAATTCATCCCATACATAAACAAACCATGCCACCTTGGTTTGGATAGCATGGAAAGCTGTGCCAGCTGGTGTAGTTAGGGAATCTGGCTAAACACAGCCAGTAAAGGCAGTTGCAGGAGAAATAAACTGCCATGGTTCATTTCCCTTGCTGCAATCATGTGACTTGGCCTACTAACTTCAGGTTTCCTGCTGACCAGGGATACAAACCTAGTTCTTGCCAGTCTGTACCCAGTGCTTGAGCAACATCACCACAGTGGCTCAGGAGTCAGAAACAGACAGCCTTCTGCCTTTAATCAGCTGATAGCTTTTTCCTACCATTTTGTGCCTTGGGCAAACATTAAAAGTTCAGACGCATCCAGGACAGGCTCTTCAACTATGTATACTACGTGTTATATTTCAGTTAAAACAGCATGGGGCTACAATTTCGATCCCTGTTCACTGTGTGAGGGGAGGAGAGAATCAACTCCTCCATGCCTTCTTCTAAACCAAAAACAAGACTTTTTCCTCACAGTTGGATTGCCACTGAAATTCCACATAAGTTCTGCAGCATGAATCTCAGCAGTTGTACCAGTGCACACCCCTGGTGCAGCCACTTCCACTGGCCAAAGGAGCCAACCGGGAGCAATTGAGCCACGTGCACCAGTATACTTGCTTCTTCAAAAGTAGAAGTTACTAAATGTGAACTGGCCATTGCCATGTAGTAAGACCGTTAAAAGTGTTCCCACTTATTGTTTTAACAGCCCTGTCTATAGCACTTTCTGCAACCTTTCACTATCAGTTTTCCTACTTCTAGCCCAAAGCTGTTCATTTGGGAAAAGGACAAATTTAGTACCATCAGCACAAGGATTTCATCAATAGTGGAGAAAGAATTTTATTTTTCAGCTGGCCAAGTCCCAAACAACATGGAACTGAAGAAAATAATACATTAAGTCTCATTCTAGTCTTGTATCTAGCAGAAGCAAATCTAGAATATTTAACTGTATTCTCTTTAATCTTTTATTTATTCATCTTTTTATTTCGATTGTGTATGAGCGTGCTTGGTATTTGACACTTGATGAATACAAGTCCTCAGCAAGTTAATTTACTCTGAAATTATTCCTTTATTTTCCCTTGTGGATTTATTTTTATATCCTGTTCACATTGGGATGTTCAAAAGAGTGCAAGGAGCTTTTAATGTGCTTAGCTGCCTTTCTGCTCTTATTATGTTTGATCAGTAAAGAGCAATCATGGAATTAAAAATAGGAGAGGAAGATGTCTGAAATATTTCAGATGCCTGAGGGAGCAAGTTTATAACTTTCAAAGAAGCAGATTCTCAATCTTACACTGATATAATAACTATATGAAAGCAAAATGCTTTCCCTATTATAAAAAAAATAAAAAGAGGGTGTGTAAATATAGTCTTGTCAATTAAGTTTTGCTTTGATGTGTAAGATTGCCACACAGTTTTATCTGAAATTACACTGCTAAATATATATATATACACACACACACTGGAATCTGACTGTCATCTGCTTTGATTGGCTTTTGTCTTCCAGGACCTTGGGCCACTAGAAACAACAGCATAGATAGTGGGGAGGCCGAGATCGGACGGAGGGTCAGTCAGGAAGTACCACAAGGAGTATTCTGGAGATCACAAATCCATATCATACAGCCCCAATTCCTGAAATTCAATATCTCCTTAGGGAAAGATGCTCTTTTTGCTGTCTATATAAGAAGAGGACTCCCTCCATCACATGTTCAGGTACTGTATTCAAGATGTTTCATGGGGAAAATATGGTTATTACAACAGCTTGGTGGTTATTACAACAGCTCTCTTGTTACCTGAGTTCTTGCTCTACAAACCTTATTTCTGCAAGGATTGTGTTAGTATCTGTGCCCCCACTGCACTGACTGCTGCCTGTAAGGGTTAGAAAATTCTCTGTGATAAAATTACATCATTTCTATTGTATTACTCGGCTTGATAAGGGAGGGAGTGGGAAGAGGATATGTGAGTTGCTGTTTCCCTCAGTCATGGTGCATCTCCTGTCAATTTTATTTCTGGCATAAGTGAGCCTTTGCAGAAAATAAGGATATTTATTATTTGTGTCCCAATTCACTTCAGTGTATGTTAATTCTTAGTAATATTCATATAGATCTTTCTGGATGTTCTTATTTTGAAGAAAAAATTACCAGCCGGAAATTGAGTTCCATCCTCTTAGCATAGCTCAGACATAGCAGATCCATAATGCACATTCTGTCCTGGGATTTTACTTGATTGTTGCCTTGAATAAGTTTTTAAATCCACAAATCTTTGCTTAAGCTTCCTCCTGAGTGTGGTTGTGCCCTGCAGGAGTCTATCGTTCCCATGCTCCTCAAACAAAAGCTTCAGTCCTTCTTTTATCCTGGCATGAGTTAGCAATATTCACCTATTTCAATAATCAGAAATTTATGCAGAGCTCTAAATCTTGTCCATAGGGAAACACAGCTGGGCAGCATCCAGCGATTACCTAATGTGGAGCTGGGAACAAGCACTCAGTCTGTTCCATATCAGAATGAAAGCAGCAATAAAAGCATTTTGTTGCATCTCAATAGATTAATAGAAATAATCTGAAATTGACATTAGATGATGTCCTAAAGTTGAAATTGAAAATTCCACATTCCTGCAGTTTAAAACTTAATCTGTGAAAACAGCATAAAACTTCACTTGACAGGTTATCACTGACGAGTGGTGATATGCCAAAGCAAGTAAAACCCTTTGTGGGAACAAGTCAATAATCAGAAAATTAGCTACATGATTAACCTGAGACTATGAAGATGCCGTTCCAGTCTGAAAGCCCCACTGAGATTGAAGCTTCTCTGTATTACTGTTTAGCAAATATTTCAAGAGCCTAGTTTAGTCAGTCAAATTGATGGAACCACATTGCTATTCAGAAGCAGTTTTGTGTAGTTCTGTAGATAGGAAATGAAGTTTCAGAGGACAACGGACTCGAGAAATGCTCGTGTATGTGGCATGTGAGCTTAGAACAAAAGAATGGAGAACTATCTTAGACAAAGTCTGATAGTTTTGTGCATAATAGTATTATTGTGTAATGATGCCCAACATACTTAAGTATTGTTCTTAAACATGCTCCATTTTCACTCATTTAATTGATCATTTATTGAAAATAAGCAAACTTTTCAGCAGTTATTATGCATGCATATTCAAGAAAAGGTGGTTTCCTTTACAACAGCAGAACATTCAAAATAACAAGATGAGGAAATTTCACAAAAGTACTGTTAGCAGTGCTTAGGCCAATTAATTCACAGGGCATATGTTTCTGCTATTAAGTGACTGGGTTTGCGTAGTCAGGGAGGGAGAATAGGCCATGGTACCTTTCCCCCCTCCCTGGGTGTGCCTGTCATAAGCCACCTAATTAGCATAATTACCCTCACTGGGTACATGTTGTTGTCATGTCCAAACCTAGGGAGGGTGATGGTTTAGAGTGCTTTGTACACCACCCCAGGTTGCCTACCTTTGCCAGGTACAGATACCATGAAAATCCATGCCAACATGCTGATAATGCCGATGAAGCAACTCTTGACCAGCATGTATGGATGATCATGTGAACCTATCAGTGACTTCTCTGGATGTGGCAGGATAATGCCTTTCCCTAGACAAGATATACCATCCACTCTTTGAGTGAGAAGTAGGAATAATGGGGTGGGGAGAAATGGGTCGTTTCGAGAAGTGTTCATTTGATTCATAAGCATATTGAAATTTTAATATGCGACTCTTCCGTTCTTCATTCCAATCAGAACAGTGTAATCTCTGTCATGTGGCCAATTTTGTACTGTGTGCAATATCCATTATTTCATTTGCACACATTTACATGGTAGTCACATTATGTATCAAATGACTGGTGGGTGAATAACCTTCAAAGTGGATGTTTATAAAGAGCTCATTTTAACATGTTTGGCAAACATTCTCCCTCGCCCCCTCAGTACATCTTGTTCAAGGGCAGTCAGACGTGAGTTCATCTACAAACACTTAGATGTAGGCTGTAGCTACGTGTTATTCAGCTGAATCTCACATAGCAGCAGACCTATTAAAAGACCAAGTAATATGAAATGCCATGTTCCTAGTATATTGGAGACCAACTTAAGGTACACCCCAATACAAGATTAGAGAGAAAAATAGCCTGCAGCTCCCAGGATGTCTCATTTGGCTATGCTGGCTGGGCCATAGCACCATGTCCTTAGACAGCTACTGAGGATATAGATATTTTAAGGTAGTTTTGCTAAACTTTCTTCCAGCACAAGTTGAGAAAGTTGAAAGGTTGTCACTTTATTTGTCACTTTAGAGGGGGGAAGCAGTATGCCCTAAGGTAATCTTCCTATGAGTGTTTGCATGAAAGAAGGGGGATATGGAATGACAGGGCTGGGGGCGGGGGAGGAGGAAGCAAAAGAAAAGGAATAACTTGACTGATAGAGAGCTTCAGATACTGCCTACCCTGTAGAGACAGTTTAAACATTCAAAGAAAGCAACAAAAGACGAGAAAAGATCAATCATGCCCACCCACACAACCCTTTCACTTTTGTTGTAACATGGGACTTCGGATGTCCAAGGAGAAAAGTTATTTGCTATTTTAAAGGTTCAAAATGCCTCATAATGGTATGTATTAGCTTGAAATACTTCACTGTATTCTGCACTTTTGTAATTAGTATTTGACACTTCAAAACCCCACAAAAATTAAATGGCAATAGAGCCCATTAAGGGCAAAATGAAGGCATAAATACTAAAAAGCAAAGCGATGTAAAATCAGGTAATTCCTGGGCACAGCACTCAGCATTTAATGGTAGCATCATGCACAGCTTCATCTCAGGCTCTGGGAAACATTTGATTGCACTTGTTTCTGCTGTATCAACAGCTGCGTCTGAGAAGCAGTAGACACCAGATTGTGACTAAAAGGCTATATCTCTATATAGCCATTCCTGTAAAGCAAGCTAAATTTTAGCAGTAAGGCTGTGCTTGAAGCAGGAGGGGAAAGGGGAAGTAACATCCTTTTGTAGGTGGTGAGATAGTTTCAGAGTGTTAGGAGAAAAAGTGGGCTAGGGCAGGGCAGACCCGGTTATGTCCTCCTGAAAAAGGAAGTGAAATGGCATCCCACTCCATGCAAATCGATTTTGAATACTGCAGCAAGCCAGATTAAAAAGAGATGTAGTAACAGTAAGCCATAATGAGTTAAGGTTAAGGCATCCCCATACACAAAGATGTGTTGCATAATCAAAATGGGCCTTCATCATATTAACAAGAGCCTTGATATCTTTGTAAATCTACAGTCAAGGATGCAATCCATAAAGACTGATTCTTTTACAAACACTTAACCTTTTGTTTCTGATTACATATGTACCCTTACTTAAGTGGGAAGTAGTTAAAAGCAAGGTAAAGTCAACTAGAATCAATTAGAATTAAATGTTCTTTTTCAATTTTGAGATTTCTAGACGGGTCAGATCTCAATATATTCAAAGGCATAAATACTGTGTGGACAGAGTCTCCCCAGTTTCTTCCTGATTACCACAAATACAGTTATTTTCTTGCATCATGTGGTCCAGATCCCATACTTTATCCACCTACTTGTAGCTTTAGGGAAAATGTGACATTTTCAGCAAGAACATTTTATAAAAACAATTCATTATAAAAGCATATTATATCAGAAGATCAATAGAGCAGAAAAATGCAAAGTAATGAGCCGGCTGGCCAAGTGGTGAATCAGACCTAGAGTTTCTGTCTGTGGCTGATTTACTTTAACAATAAAGGCAAAGCACCTTTTGACTGAATTCATTAGCTAAATTTTATGGAGCACCAAAACTGATTAAAAAAATCAGTTCATCCCACATTCTTTGGTGCTTGTGTGCTTCTGTCCCAGTATGGAAGTTCCAAGCACTGCCAGTTATCACAGGATATGGAGAGGAATATTTCTCCATACTCAAAAAGCTGCTCTACTCAAATAAGCAGTTTACTGATGAGGGAGGTAAATCAGGCAAGATTACAGATTGGCTACAAGCAGGAACTTCTGCAAACCCTGATCGCCTTTCCTTATTGTTACATTTCTCATTTAAGTAGGCCATTCCGTATATGTGATCATTTGAGCACATATATAAAACAGCAGCTGAGATCAAATATGAGCCACTTTAAACTTGCATGCAATCAATCAAGGAAAGCAGTTCTAAGGATGTATATTTAAGAGAAGAATGCAAATTTCATCTTTCCTCTGGAATTTTGCTCTAGGGCAAATCTGTTAAGAGTTTCACTAGCAACCCAAGCAGAAAGAAGGAAATACATTCCCAAAATGCTTAACATGGATGTGTTCACACCTTACATTTGTGAGAGAGAGAGTGGGGAAGCATTCATAATCTTAAAATTTCCTGCCATGAATTTTGTAGAAATTTCCCATCCACTGTACCACCTACCATAAATTTTGCATAATTTTTGCAATATTGCCCACTGATTTCTTTCTTAACTTTCTTACACATCTGATATGTAGCAACAGAAACCAGTAAAGGAAATGACAAGCACACATTTGGTGGCTGACTGCTATTTAGCCAACCACACTCATCTCTCTTCCCTTGTCAGTGTCTTCATCAATTTCATGTTCCATTTCAGTGCTTCTCATAGTAGCAAACACCTTAAAAATGTAAAAGGTATTTGGCATTACACCAAAGTAAGATCACCCCCAAAGTGCCTTTTCCTGAAGCCACACACCACTTTTGGCTTCCCTACCT